TCTTGTAAATATTTTATTGCTGTCCAAATAGTAGTCTGTTTCTGTGAGGGTGTTGTGCCAACCAGACTACCCAAATGGGTCTCTACGAGAGGTTGTGCAACCAGACTACCAAATGGGTATCCTGGCTTGTCCTTTTTTGGCCAACCAGGCTTGGATATCGGTATTCTTGTGACGCATAGTCTGGTTGGCACAAGCAATAAATGTAACAGTCATATCATTGCTTCTGCTCGCACGTGGAATTTAATAGGGCTATTCAAGCCCAAATCAAGCTCCGAGGTATTGTCCCGATTGGGGCTGGCAAACAGGAAGTCAACGTCACTGTACTTGGTGTTGTCAGGCCGATTCAAAATATTAATATGTATCCGTGTCGCCGAAGGTATTCCACAATCCGCATATATGCAAGCATCAAGTCATGGGGGTGTTGCCTCAAGGCTACTTAACAGACCACTGTTTGCATTTTCGGTAGCATATTTTTCCAAGTCCTCCCAACCAGACAACTCCTTAAGCTTTGGCTACTGTAACCGCTAACCTGAAGTTACGCACGCGTCGTGCTAAGGACTAAGGACCTCGCCGAACAAATCTGAATTTGGACGAACCTTTCCTAATTGGTTTAACGGTCCTTCCGGACCCGGCCTTGAGAAGCTGGACGTTGAGATCGTTCTATCAAGCCAACCAAAGGATTATCTCAAGTGGAGGAAATTGGCTGCTTAAACAATCGCTTAAGATGTGCTTGATACGAAAAACAGCATGAAGGATTTCCTCCCGCTAAGAGTTGTCTACATAATTGGTTGTTTATGCAGTTCGGTTTTATGCAGGAATCCTCATCTCAACGACGACTCTTCTTGAACAGTCTTAACGGCATTAAAGCCAGGCTTGGATACCCCCTAGTCTGGCTAATGTAACAATTAGCCATGATCTAGACCCTGCACGGCTCTGGGCTCGTCCTCTTTCGCCCTGAACCATAGCACAGGAATAGGAATCTCCTAGCCTGGTTGCGTATTTCCTGCGAGGGGCAGTGCCGCCCAGACTTTGCAGACTAGGTAACTCCTATCCGGAGGCCAGTTTTCTCATAAGCTGTCTGTGTGCGGAAGACTCGGTGCAGCTGGTGGTGCTCCTCCCGCAGAGTTGACTGATCCGTATATCTGGGCGGTTTTTGAGGGAATTTGGGCTGGCCGAGAAAGAGTCGCATGGAAGGATGATACTATGGACAGGGAGTTGGTGTAAAGTGAGTGATGCTGACCATCTTTATTTTTTCGGAGTGCATTTTGGGAACTAATGAACGGAGTGTATACATGTACCGGTTCCACGGGGCAAGCAGCAACATAGCTCATCTCTATTTACGCACAGGTTGAGCTTGGCCTGTCACATTAAAGCCGTTCTGGCTGCCTTTTGCAACAAACATGTCATGCGCTACTGAAGAATTCCTATCATCGCAGCGCCAAGGTTCCTGAACCATACCTTCTGCGCTCCAGTTCAGGGAACTAACAGTCGAGATATTCTCCTAAGCAGAGCAGCATCATTTCGGTGTTTATTTAAAGTGCATATTCGATGATCGGCAAAAGTGGGACACACGGCGGTTAGACACGTGCACGCTTCTTTACTTTAGGTGAGATCTTTACTTATGCACGCAGACCGCAAAGTGTATAAAATCTCTTCGAAAGTTTCATATCCTGTGAGCTGGACATTTGGTGACCATGATGGTGCGGTTGAAGGTGGCTAGTTCGATTCCCGTATCTCCATGCTGGAAGGGCGCCACGGCTCCACTTTCATCATACTCTATCCTGCCGTTTTCCGTTTTCGAGTCTTCCATATCCTCCCGTCACATACAGCTGCATGCTGCGCGGGAGAGGGTGAAAAAGTTTCTCTCATTCACTGGCGTGCAACTTTAAATTGAAACGGGGGCAAGAAGTGCTGAAAGTTTGCCTAGGTGTGGATATAGTAATTGATTGACGTAGGTGGACAGCTGGAGAGAATTCGCTGAAACATATTGGCACTGAAATGGAGGAATTTTTTCTTTAGCCGGGGAAGTTTGAGCCGGCTCTCTTTGACGTAAGCTGGTAAGAACAAATTGGTTAATTTATGAATGGAACTAACTGAGTGTCCTACCTCACTGTGCTAATGATAATTCACAGCGCTTTTCGAGGACAGATGCCTCAGGTTTAGTTGAACAAACTTTCATGGGTGGTTTATGGCAGGCGCGATATTGGGACATCAAGGGACCTGGGATTGGGCAAGGCTTGTAGGATTGTATGTGTGGTATTTGATTTTGTTTGGGCAAGTTATTATAGTCTTTGAGCTCATATAACAAGTTAATAGTGAGCTGAAAATTTCTGTGCTGTTCATCATTTCAACAGCAGTTTGAGCCAAAGCCCTGTTATAGAACGTAACTAGAGTATGTCGATATGATTTTGCAGTTTCTGACTCATGTCCGAGCTCAAATTACAAGCGCTTTTACTTTAGTTCTAATGCTTAAACCCGAGCTGGTAGCAGCACGAAAGAACCCCCCTTTACCAGATTGAACTCTCCTCTCTCCTGGGCTCGCTTCGTATTCCTACGACAATAGATATGTAATTAGCCCGCACTCTCTTTAACAATAGCTGGGCACTGTCTACTCCATCAATCTCCACTGGCACCCTATGCGCCACATGTATAAGAGTGAACACCAAGTTCAATATCACTGCCTGGATGCTCTGACCCCACCAGTAATCGGAAACGAGTACGTAACGGAAATCCCCAATCTGTAAATACAGCCATGGTTCCACATATTTAGAAGCGAGGTGGGGAATCGGTCGTGTGTACGGGGATCTAAAGGGCCATCGACTCCATCGGAAATGGTTATGCATGCGGAAATGTTTTTTTGGGGGGTGCTGTTGTATGTAAGTATGCTATGCTGTTGTGAAATGTAGGTCTTATGTACGTATATTTGTACGCGCAGCCTGTACATGACCGGGGGAATGAGCGGGGTCAATATATAGCGATCATTTTGATTATAATCAACATCGTAGTAAAAGCACGCGACCACGGCTACGATGGATATATATAGTATACTCCGAATGTCTCTTTCTGGTGTTGGTTGTATCACGGTGAGTACCGACGTTGCGATGCAATAGGTTTTACATACTGGACATATTTTGAAGCATTAGTCAAATGGCTGCTTGATGGGAATGTAGATATTGGAGGCTTAATTAATACTTGTGTTCTTACCACTCTTCTAAGTAGCTTTGGTTGAAAGCTCTAATATTAGCTTGAGAGTGGGATTTACATTACTATATACAGTAATTTGTGCATGAGACTTTCGCTGATATTGAGATATGAGTATAAGTTAGTTGCTTTTTCTTTTCTTTTTTTTCCCCTCTTGGCTCTGTGTATGTTAATATTTTAGTTGGAGTGGACTATACATATATGCATCGTAATTCGCAGGAGAGATTTATTAATAATTTATCCTAGTACCTGAGTACTGTTACCCTGAAGTTCGAATACCAATGATATTCGGTTATGGAAGCATAAGGTGAAACACATATAGTACGTTGAGTAGATGTACATGCACCTTTATTCCGCTATAGCTTCCTCAACTCCTCATTGCTTAGGGCACGCCTGCATCACGCCGGCTGGCACGAATTAGTAAATGCATCATGTGCCATGAGCGCATTGGCTTACCTAGATTGTGATACACTCGGGTAGCAAAAAAATTCTCGTACGCTGCCTGCATAAAGGAGCGTAAGCATTACGATGTAGGGCGCTTAACTAGTCATTGCCGCGCGCAGAATTTGGACTGGGCGCCTGCCGATCTGGGAATCGTATGAACGCCTGGACCGAGAATAATATGGACAGAAAAGTAAGATATTCACCAAATTTGTGATTGCCGCGGGTGGGTCATCGTAAACGTGGATCAAGCGCATGCTCAGACTGCCTTTACGCAAGATATGAAACGTTTTGCCACCTGACTGTGTCTGCATTCACAAGAATCCTAAGACGCCGACCGGCGAGTCCACTCCAACACAAAAGGCTCTCTGGTTGGCGATTCCGGATCTACTAGCTGTTTTGGGAGTCTTGGAGACCCGACTTGAAACAAATTTTATCTCCAACACTTTTTTGGCGCTGACCTACACCTGAAACCTCCTACCCGACGTCATGTATTGATATCATACCATGGTTTTCAAAGTTTCATAGATATTGCACTTGCACATACATGTTATTTGTCAAAAGATTGGTAACACATCATATTAAGCCTTATCTTAATCCCAAGGTTTCAGTAGCAGCCAGTAAAGTAAACTGCTCCAGTGGGTAATGGGAACTATTATGGTGATATTTTTAACCAATATGGCCAGTCCATAACTCGAGCCGACTATATGGCTATTCCATAATCCAATATGACACATGTAACATATCATCATTCGAGTGGGCTCCTGATTCTTCTTTGTACCTTAGGGCGCGAGATACATGAAGGCGAGTATACATGTACAGCATTGTGATTGACATCTCGATCACTTTGGGCTCTAGCTCTTTGACTGCAATAGCAACCTTGGTGTACTTGCTTTCAGTTGGAAAGGGGTGTTAATTGCTAATATCAACTCCGGTACGCACCGTTCTTAAAAGACAGCTGACGAACCGCCCCTATCCCGATAAGGTAAAGGCTTCAGGGTAACGTCATTTGTGCCAGCCTAACTCTTTACAATTATCAAGTACCTTAAAATCAAGAGCTTTGCATATAAGATGGTTAGTCAGGTTCTTCAAAGAATCAAGGAGCAGAAATGATACAAAGATGATACTTTGATTTCAGAAGGAAGTTATGTAGTTGAACATCACCATTCCTGTTAAGAGCATGGTACATTAATATTTATGAGTAAAGGAGATTTAGTGGATAGAGTATCTACCTCACTGGGCATTCGATGCCGTAATGCCGTCTTAGTTCTTGTTATGTAGCCCTCCATGGCTGGGCAAGATAAGTGGTGAGCCGGCAACTAGTAAAATATAGAAGAGGGGTGCGAAAAAAGAAGCATAGCCCAATGCGAGGCTCGAACTCGCGACCTTGAGATCCCTCAGACAACTGTTATCAAGTACTTAAGAGTCACACGCTCTACCGACTGAGCCAACCGGGCTTTAGATGTCCCAAGCATTGCACAGGATATATACAAAGAGATCATGTGTTTTACCCCTTCTTTTCGAAACCTCTCTTCATTTTCTCTCAGTGGTCTCTCGAGACCATCCACTCCCTTGGGAAAGAGGATAGATATGATTTGAGGCCTGTACGAGACCCCCTCAATATACTTAAAGTGATCCCCAACCACTGAGCCACCTGTAGGGTGCTACTAGTAGTTTCTGAGTTCTACATTTTTGCTTTATATATAACTTACATATAGTGCGTGGGGGAAAGTTACTTAATTTTTTATGCAGCGATCGGCAACCAATATGTAGATATATGAAACACAAGTGATATCTCCTTCAAAGGTCGTTGTGCCAACCAGACTAAAGTGATATCACAATACGTACTAACCAGATTATCACCAGACTATATACAAAATACCAAACTCATCAATAATTAGTGTACCATCCCTCAGCTTTAATGACTACAGCACGTCGAGGCATAGATTTGGAAAGAGAGTCCAGCAGGCTAGTAGGAATCCCCTTCCATGCTTCTGCCAAACATTCAGCTATTCTGTTTTTAACAGCCGCTGGTCCACCTGGATTAGGAAACTTTTGGTGCAAATCCTCTTTAGGTAGCGCCAGACATGCTCGATAGGATTAAGGTCTGGAGAGCAAGCTGGATCCGCTACTTTCCATCCTGCCTCTTGTAACAAAATTAGGGCACGATATGAATTGTAGATAGGAGAGTTATCTTGCATGAAAATAGGATTGGAAATTCTGGCAGCCTCCATATCTGCTTTCACTTGTGGTAGAAATTCTTCCAATATCTCCACATAGCGTAAAGATATCCCAGTGCAGCACCCCAAAAGCATCCCAAACCATTACAGTTACTTGTTTTCTCCCTGACGTTTACTACCACTGGCGGCTGCCGACATCGTCACGAGTTGTTCTGATTTATATACCGGTGCAAACTCAATTGGAAGCTCATGAACTCGAGCTCCAAGTATATACCGCTGGTGGTTGCTGTATGTCTCACACTCAGCCACAGACTGGTGCTGCATAATATGCAGGGCAGGCGTGCCATAACTTTCCCCACGCACTGTATGTAAGATATACTTGAAATTGTAACCAAACCTGCTGATACCCTTACATTACTCCTCGGCCAAATTGACAGGGTTAGGTTGCAAGACTATATAGGGGTAGTAGTTTACTAAAGTAGTTACTGGGGCTTTTGGCCTAACCCCAAATACTACAGGCTCTCATTCTATAAAGTATTATAATAATTTCTCAACCCTCAAACCATCTAATGTTGTAAGCAAAAGGGCTAAGAATGGTTGCACAACCCCTCGTAGGGGATGGAGGCTGCCCTACATGGAGTGTGTGGAAGGGGTCTTAGTCCTGCATGTTTGGTTAGTCTGGTTGGCACAACCCCCTCGTAGAGGGATCTTTAGTCTGGGAGAGGGTCATGCCAGCCAGGCTATCCTCTGCTAGACTCCTACTTGTATGATAGGTGGAGGTGGAGGGGCGAGAGGAGTTGGGGATATAAAAACTAAGCCTTAATCATTATCATAACCCTAAGCGAAGTTGCGCTCGCCGGGAGTTCAGGGTAATTAGTTACATATAAATCTACACATATTGCGAGCAATATTTCTCAAATGCCCCACATATGGCCAGCCACCTTATTTGATAGTCTTCAGCACTCAAGTATATCCTTACCCTATTTAATGTTGAAATTAAAGCTCTTATCAGATCTTCAATTTGATCATGGAGCTTGGCACTCTCCTTTCTAGGGGAGAGGGGATAGAAGCTGGTTGGGAGACAGTCGCAATCTACCGTTTGCTTATGCAAAAGGCTAGGGGTACGGTTATCCGCCGAAAGGCGGGGGAAGGGGGGTGGGGGGTGCATTAGCCTAAATGCCCTAGTCATCCAAGTCATTTAAAATTAACGACGGTTTCGAGACTAAGTTATACAGCGTGCTTGTACTTAGATTTTATCTACCCATTCGTGCGCTGATCAAGTGAGGTATATAAGTGAGCCAACCAAACTAGATCACCTAGTCACAAGAGCTCACTAGTCCCTTGAGCTCTTATCAGATTCTAAGGTTGAATGGCAAAGCTTGGCACTATCCTATATAGGGGGGGGGGGCCGCCAGACTAGGCGTGGGGTGGTGATGCCCTTGACCAGTGGTGGTAGGTGTAGATGGGGTTAGGTTATCCATAGGTTGATCAGTGAATTTTGTTTATTGTGCAACAAGACCAGATGTTTATGATGTGGTGAGGGGGCGAGGAGGAGAATTTATAATTTGCCCTAATGTTGTATTCAAATTCTGCTTTGGGAGCCCTAATACCAAGCTCAGGGTAATATCCAACTATCATTAAATTGTATACAATCTCAAAGCTACAAAGCTTCATCTAGGCTTTTCTCGCCTCTAGGCCCGTTTTGATAGTGGGGTAATGTGTTCTCGAGAATAGGGCTAAGAATTTGAGGAGGAGGCTATGGAGAAGGAATTATCACAGACAGGCTTTTTTGTAATAAATAATTGGTAAGCCTCATACTAATTCATCAAGCCCGGTTGGCTCAGTCGGTAGAGCGTGTGACTCTTAATGGTGCCTATGTATCTGAGGGAATCTCAAGGTCGCGAGTTCGAGCCTCGCATTGGGCTGCTTTTCTTTTTTTCCTTTCCCAGTTTCCTTTCCCAGGATTGTCTAAGGCTAAACCTACTGTTTTTTGTTCACTGCTTCCTAGTCTGGCTGGCACACTTTCGTAGAGGGAGACTGACAGAATAGGAAGACAAGACTAAGAATGCGATGTTCATAAGCTTCCGCTGCGTCCGAATAGGTTACCCTGAGTCAGGCATGGGAACTGAAGAACGAAATATAACAATGAAGCCAGACTACGAAACCACCGCAAAGGTACCCAACCTAACTGCGAAGGCGCTGATTGAGCAGTTACATACTGAATAATTATCATCAGCAAGTTTACAATGGACATCCTAGTGTCCAGGTTCTCACGCGCCGTGACCCGGTAGCTGCTAAAATCCATTAAACGGTAGAAAAAAAGACTTCGACCCGGTGAGACTTAAGAAATATATGTTTCCCTGTGTGGACCAATAACTGCCGGCACCGTGGTTACTTGATTTCCGTACATTAGCTGGGGAGGGGTGAAGATCTTCTGTTTATATTGACTTATGACGTAAAAATCCACAGTGGTATTGGCTTAGGCACTGCGCCTACAGATGGAGCGGATGCCACTCTCAGTATTGTGGACCACTTGTGCCAACCAGACTGTGATTTCTTTGCATGCTCTTTTTGGGTGAATTTATTACCCCACAGATTGTATATAAGAGAGTTATCTTGGGGGTGGGCCAAACGACATGCCCGGTTGGCTCAGTTGGTAGAGCGTGTGACTCTTAATGGCGCCTGTCGGATTCAGGAACCTAGAGGGGATCTCAAGGTCGCGAGTTCGAGTCTCGCACCGGGCTGTGTGTTTCTTTTGGGTACAGTGGCCTTGCAAACTTCTTGTTTACAGAGAAGTGTTGTTGCAAATAAAGCTTCGGAACTTTTTAAGATATTCAAGGTAAATTCAAGATACAAAAGAGAGTTTCAACATAGCCTCGTACTGTTTCTACCAACCAATATTATCGTGCCCAAGAGTCCCAATGAAGATATATACTCTATATCACAGTATATATCGTAAATGCATGCATACCCCAAAAAAAACTATTAACACAGAAAAGAGAAAAGACCCTAATATGAATCCTAACCTGAACCTCAACAACGTACCTAAAGTACTAACAATGTGAACACAAATACCTCTAATATATTCTTCCCAAATTCAAAACATGTTCATGTAGCTCCTCTCCCCCGCCGTTCTTTTGTTCCAACGTACGCATATCTACGCCAAAAAAACCCTCCCCATATTCCTTCCCAACTCTCCCGAAAACGCTTCCAGCTTCACCGCGCATAATACTACCTCCATACCCCCCTTTCCATCACTGTTACTCGTCCTCTGTACTCTTACTCTCCACTGTCCACGCTTGATTATCCATTCTCTCCCTTGCCTGCCACCTCCGCCGCCACCGCTACCACCACTTTCTCCCGCGCGGGGAGCGAAGGATCCAGAGTCGGATGAGAGACGCCGGCGTTTCAGGGGCCGTGGAGGCGGAGGGGGGTGAGCACGATTTTGCAACGGAGAGGTTTGCTGGTGTGAAGCGGGGGGATGGGGTGGGGCCCATGATACGACATTGGGGGAGCCACCTGAAGAGGGTCGGGGCGGAGGGGGTATATTTGGTAAATTAAGTTGATACGCGTTCCCTGGTATTAAACGATCCTCACTAACGATGGAGCCATCATCTTCATTGCCGCCATACGGTACCCAAGGAACCCATTCAACTTCCTCCCCATCCAGGATGATATGCGCATCGCAATCAATCCGGACTTTAACTCTATCTTCACTCAATGGCGTATTCCCCGGGCTTGGGGGTAGCCCTCCTTGGGCAGCACCACTCCCAACCCCAACCCCACCCGCCCCCGCCCCCGCCCCCGCCCCCGCACCCCCTGCACCACCGCTCCCTGCCGCTCCAGCCGCAGCGGCAGCCGCTTGCTGTGCCTGAGCCATCATCTGCAACCCTAACGGCTGTGTAGTCGCTAAATTCAACTTATCTGCAATCCTCTGCAGGAAGTTTGTAATTCTCCTATTCGTCTGCCCTACGAACTCCACTCTCATATCTTTCCTATCAAACTTCGTTGTTTCCCCACCAATTTCAACGACTAATTCGTAATCTTCATCGTCTACCCACGGACGGCCATATACCACAAACCCCACCGGCGCGTCAGGGGGGGGAGTCTGGTTTGGTTGGTAAATTTCTTGTCGGAATGTGATTCGGGAAGGTTTAATATCCTCGATTCGAATGACGATTTCGTGACGGTCCCGGCGGAGGTTATAGCTTATACTATGTGGAATTAGTTTCTGCTCTAGGCAGCGTAAATTGTAGTAGCGACAATCTTGCAGTAATTCTTGTCGATGCTCCTCATTCCGGATTTGTATTGGATAACCCCGGAGGACATGGAGTAACTCTTTGAATGTTTCCGGGGAGTGGTTTGGGACGTTTGCGGGGGCGATGGAGGGGGGTCGGAGAAGCCCTTCGCGGGGTAGGCCGGGGAAGAGTTCATCAGATTTGGTGAAGTTGACGGAGAGATTGAGGCCGAAGAAGTTGGAGGAGTCGCCGGGGTTGGAAAAGATGTCCCGGGGGATGCGGAAGTGGGTGCCACCAATGAAGATGTAGAAATCGGATTCGTAGAGCTGTGAGATGAGTTTGGGAACTGTGGGTGGGTTAGTCTGTGGAGGGGAAACAGTTTACGAGGGCGGGAGGGGGTAGTACTTACGGCTGTAGAACTGCGCATCCGCAAATAATCGTACATATTGCCCCGCGTCCTCAGGTGAAACATAGTAGCCTTTCCCCATGTCAGCATGCGCCCCATGAACACTGATTTGGCCATATACCTTGTAGGTGCCTCGCGATATCTCTAAACGTTACTGGATCCCGATCTATGTACAGGGTCCTAACCTGTGCATCGGGGTCGCTAGCCAACTGCTGCTCAAAGAACTGAGAGAAATATGAAGGGGCTCTCGAGAATCTCAGCTTTATCACCCATCAAAAGCACAGTGAAGGAGGTGAAGCAACAAAAACTGACCATCTGAAGATATCGAAGCGCCACTAATATCCGGACAACTGGTTAGCTCTAGTCAATACCCCAGGGAAGCCTCTCATACCTCAACTTAAACATCTCGCTACCAATCTGTATCGGAAAAACCTATGCGCTCGACTATATCAGTCCTTATCCTACCGGACCATCCTCCGGGTAAAGAGCATATACCCTCTCATGTGGCAATATTCTCGGGATGTCCGGGAAGTACGCTCCCCGCACCGTTACATCGTCCAGCGTTAGCTGTGGGACCCCATTCCCCGCGGGCCCCGCCTGAATATTCATCATCTTTTGTTGTCTTTGTTGTTGCTGTTGTTGGGATTGTTGCGCAACTGCACCTCCAGCTGCTCTTCGTAAATTCGGTGCCGTGGGTCTTCGTAATTGGCTGGTATTCACGCTCAATGCTGATGGTCCCACTGGCGACGATGTTGGCCCGGGATTTGGCGTGGTGCCACCAACAATGGCCCCACCGTTCGGCCCGGCTACTTTATTGAGCTGTTTGGTTCGGGAGAGGGTTGATTGTGGCAGTTGACCTGCTGCTGATGCGGCTAGTTGTGCGCTGACGTTCGCCGATTGTTGATGCCCCGCTGCCTGTTCTCGTACCTGTTGCTGCAGCTGCTGCTGTCGTGATAACTGCTGTGACTGCTGCTGTTGCACCTGAGGTTGATGTTGTGAGCCCGAAGATGGGGATGGTTGTTTCTGCATTAGTTGCTGATTATGAAAATAGTTTTGCTGTAGCTGCTGACCACCGCCTATAATACCACCATTCCCTGGTGCAAAATGTGCCCCGGCAGCCACGGTACTAAACACCCCATCAAACGAGAACTCTCCCATCGGGAACCCAAAGCTATCCGGAAACAACCCCAGCCCTGCCGCCCCAAGCCCATCACTCCCAATTGAACCTGCTCTTACAGTACTTCCACTAGCTACAACTCCCCCATTACTCCCACCAGCCCCCGTGTTCGAATTGCTGCCGTAATTGACCCCCGCCGACTCGGCTGCGCTTCGCGGCCCCCCCCCAAGCGACATCAAGCTGTCTATTCTCCCTCTCTAGTATGTGTGTGACTTCCGCGCGTCAAATTTTCATACGTAAAAGGCGTCCAAGAAATTTTGCCTCAACCGGTGAGGCAAGTCAGCGGTCAGTAATTTAGCTCCGGCTATTAGTTAAGGCTTAGAAAGAATCGGGGAAAAAAGGTGTGGTAAGTGCTGACGGTCAATCTTTGTGGCCTACGCGAATGCCGGATTTATAAATGCAGCAACGCGTTCGCGGGATCGGGGCAGCTGCAACTAGGTCTGTGGCTGGAAGGATATGTGTATGGTGCAGGTGCTGGGTTACGAATTTGGCGTCGGTTAATTGATCGATTCGTGGCCTGGCAAGGTCCAGTCTTTTAAGAGCGATCTCCCGTAACTACCTAGAGGCGCAGCCACATCCTCCCCTGAGCGGCGTCTGGATATAGATTGTCAGCATTAATCGTTATGCCTCGAGTTATCCAGGCCATTCGACCCCAATCTCATCTCTTCTCCGGATCCTCCCAGTCTGTGGTCACTAACGATCGGCCAGTGGTAGCTCCGATGTCTGAACTCAAATCCCCCGAATCCAATCAATCTCCTCCACCTGAATCAAAGGTTATGTCATATGGGTATATGTATACAAGTAATTGCTTCTTTAAACTACGGTGCTTATGTGTACTCGGTATGTACGTATTCTTGCAATCGGGCTAGCTCACCCATCCCTTGTCCTTTGATCGATGTTGAAACTGATTCAACTGGATCTCAATGCAGATCCACCGACATGACGCAGTAGTGCTGTGTGCTTTAAATTGGATGATTGAAGGTATAGCAAATGAAGGGCGACTTTGAATGCTAGAACCAGAGGGGTACCAATATGCGGGGAAGAACCAACCAACGGCATACGAAGTCTACAATTGAATCAGAGAAGGTTCATGATATGGCTGAGATGTTTGACGAGGAACCTCTCCTACCTGCAGTCGCCACTGGCTAGATGAAAACTAGTACTGTGACTTTCATAAATAACTCGGGGGAATAAAAATTGAATACCAATGGAAATCCCACTTTGGTTAATTGTGAGGAACCGATGGCATCCCGTATCAATACGGCTCTGAGCATGTATGTGTTGTTCGGATGTGGCCTATTACAATACAATTAGAGCATCTGCTTGCGGTCTCTATTGTACCAGATTCCTTACCGCTCTTACTTGGGTGAACCAAACTGCCAATCTTTTTCAACTTCAGCTCCATGTTTTTGTAGGTTCCAAGATAGAGGATCGGTGAGTTAAGATCGGTCAGGAAGCAGCTCGCTTCCCCAATATCACCGCTAGCCCATTGATAACTCCTCAGACGTGCCAACCAGACTATCCTCAGACCAGCATCTACGCCATAGCTCCTGTGCGATGGTATTGGCACGTACAGCTCCTCCCTCTCCACTAGCACCATCACCACCTATCGATCGCCTCGTTCCTTCTTTCCATACAACCCATACACCCGGATGCATCCTGCGACAAAGCCAAGTTGAACCTCGAGCCCACAATGTGGCTATGTGTACTAATTCAATCAGCCTCAGTTGTAATCCCACCAGTACCTCCAAGGACCTTCATCTCAATTTCTGAGGATCAACAATGCCATGCACAAGCAGACCGGTATTGTAAATACGACCACACCGTTGATGTCGTAAGGTGGCCTGCATGAACACTCGGTGTAATAAACTAAGCCTCGGTATCAAGTCACTTGTCAATTGAAACTTTAACGTCTGCAGTCGT